GGGGGGGGGGGGGGGTCAATTGGGATCCACTGGGAATGGGTGAAACCATTGGGATCCATTGGGATCCATCATGAATGGGGGGATCCATTGGGATCCATTGGGAAGGGGGATCCACTGGGAATGGGGGATCCATTGGGATCCATTTGGAATGGGGGATCCTTTGGGAACACCTGGGAATGGGGGATCCATTGGGAATGGGGGAGACATCGGGATCCATCAGGATCCATTGGGAATGGGGGATCCACTGGGAATGGGGATCCATTGGGATCCATCAGGAATGGGGGAACCATTTGGATCCATTGGGATCCATCGGGAATGGGGGATCCACTGGGAATGGTGGGATCCATTGGGAATGGGGGAATCCATTGGCAACACCCGGGAATGGGGGATCCATCGGGAATGGAGGGGTCCATTGGGATCCACTGAGAATGGGGGATCCCTTGGGAATGGGGGAATCCATCAGGAATGGGGGATCCAGTGGGATCCATTGGGAATGAGGGATCCTTTGGGAACACCCGGGAATGGGGGATCCATTGGGAATGGGGGATCCATTGGGATCCACTGTGAATGGAGGATCCATTGGGAATGGGGGGTCAACTGGGATCCAATTGGAATGGGGGATCCATTGGAATGGGGGAATCAATTTGGATCCACTGGGAAGGGGGATCCATTGGGATCCACTGGGAACGGGAGAACCATTTGGGATCCATTTGGGATCCATTGGGAATGGGGGATCCATGGATCACCCCCAGGATCCCCCCAGGTTCCTGGGATCCCCCCCTGGATCCCTCCACGGGGCCTTGGGTCACTCCCAGGACACCCCCCCCCCCAATATTCCCAGTATTCCCACTATTCCCAATATTCCCAGCCCAATATCCCCAATATTCCCACTACTCCCACTCTTCCCACTATTCCCGGCACTCCCGATATTCCCACCATTCCCGGTATTCCCACCTTTTCCCTGTGGATGAGGAAGGAGTCGATGAAGTCTCGGGGGCTCTGGGGGTCGAGGCTTTGGGCGTTTTTCCGGATTCTCCGGGCGATGAATTCCCGCATCCGGCCCAGGAGCTTCGGGATGCGCCGGTGGGGACCCGGAACGAACCAGAGCAGAGGCTCAGCCAGGTCGTACAGCTGGGAAAATATGGGAAAAATTGGGATTTTGGGATTGATTGGGGAATTTTGGGGATTTTGGGGGGATCAGAGACATGAAAACAGCACCAAAACACCCCCCAAAAATGGCCCCAAAAAGCCTCAGAAACACCCCAAAAATGGCCTGAAAACCACTCCAGAAACAGCTGAAAACCAGCCCAAAAATAGCCTAAAAACAGCCTAAAAACACTCCAAAAAAAACCCCCAAACCAACCGAAAAACACCCCAAAACCACCCCAGAAACAGCCCCAGAAACAGCCGAAAAACACCCCCAGAAACACACCAAAAATAGCCTAAAAACGGCCCCAAACCCACCCCAGGAACAGCCTGAAAACAGCCTAAAAACAGCCCAAAACACCCCCAAAAATAAGTCTAAAAACACCCCAAAACCACCCCTGGAAATGCCCCAAAACCGGCCACAAACAGCCCCAAAACCACCCCAAAAACAACCTAAAAACATCGTGGAAACAACACAAAAACACGCCAAAAACACCCCAGAAACACCCTGAAAACGGCCCCCAAAACACTCCAAAACCACCCCAGAAACAGTTTCGAAACATGTCCAAAACCAGCCCAAAAAACACCCTGAAAACAACCCGAAAACACCCCCAAAACCACCCCAGAAACATTCCCAAAAACAGCCTAAAACCACCCCCAAAACCACCCCGAAAACGGCCCCAAAACCACTCCAAAACTACCCCAGAAACAGCCTAAAACCAACCCCAAAATAGCCTAAAAACAGCCCCAAAATGGCCCCAAAACAGCCCCAGAAACACCCCAAAAACAGTCCCAAAACACCCCCGAAAACACCCCCAAAACCCCCCCGAAAATGGCCCCAAACATCCCCCAAAACCCACCCCAGAAACATCCTAAAAACACCCCGAAATCAGTCTAAAATCAGCCCCAAAAACAGCTCCAAAACCACCCCAGAAACAGCCTAAAACCAACCCCAAACCAGCCCAAAAACGGCCCCAAAAACACTCCAAAACCACCTCAGAAACAGCCCAAAAACACACCCAAACCCGCCCCAAAACAGCCCAGAAACAGCCCAGAAAAAGCCCAAAAATAGCCTAAAAACAGCCCCAAAACCACACCAAAAACGGCCCCCCAAACCACCCCAGAAACAGCCCGAAAACAGCCTGAAAACACCCCCCAAACCACCCCAGAAACAGCCCCAAAACAACCCCAAAACAGCCCCAGCAACAGCCCCAAAACACCCCCAGAAACACACCAAAACCAGCCTAAAAATGGCCCCCAAAACACCCCAAAACCACCCCAGAAACAGCCAAAAAACAGCCCCAAAATAGCTGAAAAACACCCC